CAAATTTTATCCATGTTTACCATAGGTATCACAATGTTATTTCTCTTCATATCTGAAATATGTCTGTGAATATAGCGGATGTGTTTAAACATTCATCTGTTGATTACTGACTTTTCCCTCATTTTTTGGCTTTTCTGAATAATGTTATGGTAGGTGATGTACCAGCATATGTTTGGCTGTTTTTCTATTTCTTTAGCTTAAATACCTAGGGTGGAATTTTGGGTCATGGCAATCTATATTTACCTTTTGAGACATCAAACATCTTCATGATGCTGTAATTGCCATTTACATTCCTAATAGTAATATAGAGTTCAATTGCTCATTTACCAATCTACTTGCTGTTTCTTTTAAACAAATGTAGTTATATTTATTATGTAATGTACGACTTATCTTATTGTGCTTTTTGATTTGCATTTCTAGAACGCAGTAAGGATAGAACCCTTGGGACTTTCTGGAAACCTCTGAAAGTTTTATTTGATATAAGATTAAAAAGTAACATGCAACGGAACATGAAGCTACATCATTTGAACTCACGGACTGTGAGATCATGACCTGACCTGAAGTCGGACACTTAACCGACTGCCATCCAGGTGCCCCCCTACCTGCCCTTCTTTTAGACTGTGGCGATTTCTTAAAATAAGACAACAACAGAGTCTACTGAAACGATGGGGTCTCTTCCTTTCATGTCGTTTGATAGAATTTTACCCACAGAACTTCTGTCAAAGCTGGAGTCATCTTAAACCCTGATACTGTTTTATCAACTAAGTTTATGTGATATTCTAAATCTTCCAGTGTCATTTCAACAATCCTCACAGCATCTTCACTAGGAGTATATTCCATCTCAAGAAATCGCTTCCTTTGTTCATCCACAAGAAGTAACTTCCCATCATTAAAATTTTATCATGAAACTGCAGCAATTCAGTCACATCTTCAGGCTCCATTTCTAATTCTAGTTGTCTTGCTATTTCCACATTTGCAGCTGCCTCCTCCACTGAAGTTTTGGAATCAGCTTCTGCCAAACTCCTGTTGATATTTTGACCCCTCCCATGAATCACACACATGTTCTTAATGACACCTAGAATGGTGAATCTTTTCCAGAAGGTTTTCCATTTATTTTGGCCAAATCCATCAGAATCACTATCTATGGCAGCTATAGACTTACAAAATGTATTTTTAAGGAGTATGACCTGAAAGTCCAAATTACTCCTTGATCCATGGGCTGCAGAATTGATGTTAAGAGGCAAGAAAACAAGATTCACCTTGGTTGTATATCTCCATCAGAACCCTTGGGTGACCAGGTGCATTTTCAATGAACAATAATATCTTGAAAAATTTTTTTCTAAACAGGCTTAAAATATTCAGTCTTAATATTGACCGTAAACATGCTGTAAACAGATATGATGTCATCCAGGCTCTGTTGTTCCACTGACAGAACATAGGGAGAACAGATTTAGCCTAATTCTTTTTTCAACGTTTTATTTATTTTTGGGACAGAGAGAGACAGAGCATGAACGGGGGAGGGGCAGAGAGAGAGGGAGACACAGAATCGGAAACAGGCTCCAGGCTCTGAGCCATCAGCCCAGAGCCTGACACGGGGCTCGAACTCACGGACCGCGAGATCATGACCTGGCTGAAGTCGGACGCTTAACCGACTGCGCCACCCAGGCGCCCCAGATTTAGCCTAATTCTTAAGGGCCCTATGGTTTTCAGTATGGTCAATGAGCACGGCTTCAACTTAAAGTCATCAGCTGCATTAGTCTCTAATAAGAGAGTCAACCTATCTTTTGAAGCTTTGAAGCCAAGCACTACTACTTGTCCTTTTTAGCCAGGAGAGTCCCAGATGGCATCTTCTTCCAAGAGAAGGCTGCTGTGCCTACATTGAAAATCTGTTTAACATAGCCACCCCCATTAATTACCTTGCTAGTTCTTTTGGATAACTTGCTGCCACTTCTACATCAGCACCTGCTGCTTCATCTTGCACTTGTACGTTATGGAGACAGCTTCTTTTCTTAAACCTCATGAACCAACCTCCCTTAGCTTTAAATTGTTCTTCTGCAGCTTCTTCACCTTTTTCAGCCTTCACAGAATTGAAGAGAGTTAGGAATTTGTTCTGGATTAAGCTTTGGTTTGAGGGAATGCCGTGGCTGATTTGATCTTCTACCCAGACCAATAAAACTTTCTCCATATCAGCAATAAGGCTGTTTCACTTTCTCATCATTTATGCGTTCACTGGAGTAGCTCTATTAATGTCCTTCAAGAGCTGTTCCTTTGCATTCACAACTTGGCTAACTGGACCAAGAGGCCTAGCTTTCAGCCTATGTTGGCTTTTGACATGCCTTCCTGATTAAGCTTAAATCATTTCAAAGCTTTTGATTTAAACTCAGAAATGTGTGACTCTTCTTTCACTTGAACACTTAGAGGCCACTGTAGGGTAATTAATTGTCCTAATTCCTGTACTGTTGTGTCTCAGGGAATAGGGAAGCCTGAGGAGAGGGAGAGAGATGGGGGAACAGCCTGTTGGTGGAGCAGTCGGAACACACAACATTTATCATTTATTAAGTTCACTGTCTTACATGGGTGTGATTTGTGACACCCCAAAACAATTACAATGATAATATCAAGGATCACTAATCACAAATCACCATAATAAATATAATAAAACTTGAAATATTACAAGAATTACCAAATGTAGCACAGAGACATGGAGTGAGCAAATGCAGTTGGAAAAATGGCGCCCACAGACTTGCTCAATGCAGGGTTACGACAAACCTTCAATTCATTAAAAAAACACAGTATCTGCAAAGCGCAATAAAGTGCAGTGCAGTAAAATGAGTTATGCCTACACATTAAAGGTTACGGGGGGCTGTGGGGAGGGGGAAATGGGGTGGTTGCTCTTAATGGGTATAGAATTTCTATTTGGAGAGATGAAAAATTATGGAAAAAGACAGTGTAAATGCTGTACAATACTCTAATCAATGCCACCAAATTGTATACTTACAATGGGTAAAAAAATGGCAAGATAAACCAGCCTCAACCTCACGAACTGTCCTCGGCCCAAATGACAAATTATTATAACATGTTAACAAGTAGTCTTTCAAATATAATAAAGCACCAGATAGAATGGAACTTCTACGCACCTAGAGTGACATATTCAATGTGTGTTAATAGCATCATTTGGAAGGAAAACAAAAACGCATCCTCTCTTACCTTTAAAACCATGTCAGTTTAAGATGAATCATAAGTGTTCAAGGTTCAAAATCTCTACATTTCAATTCTCTTCATTGCAAAGTTTTCAGGATCTGAATGGTGGTGCTCAAGTATCAAAAAAAAAATACCAAATACCTTAATAAAATGAAGAAACATCCCTAGGACTTCCTAGGAAGAAGAATTTTATATAACTACTGGATATATTTTTTCATGTTTTATCTGCAAGAATATCAAACTTATGGATAAATATATAAAATTTGCAAAACATTTTTGTAACCTATAAAATGAAAAATGTGACAACTTTATAATTGAAGAGTGCTATCCTATAAAATTATGGTAGAGATTACTAAATGAACGGCCAACACAAATATAAATTAAATATCATTACTGACACAGTGAGACTTCATTCTCTTAAAAATGAAACCTATAAAGGAAAATGATCCCGTTCTGCACAGCCTTCTTCCCCCAGAAAGAACGGTGACTCAACAAAACCACATTTTAACAACATGAAGATCTTGTTATTATAAATTTCAAAACAAAATGGAGGAATTTCCACATAATATTTATAACCTTCAAAGTACAATATTAATACATGTCTGTCAGTTAGAAATAACAGCAGTTTGTTAGGCTACAGGGTTTAACATAAAACCAATTTACAAATGTGAAAAGCAGTAGTGGTCCAATATTCACCATTACACATGAATCTGTTTCTTCCAGAAAATTTTTTTTAAAAATTAAAATTTCTGTCTCATGAAATATTAAAATAACACCCAAACATGCCACAATCACTATTCACAAATAAAGTTAAAATGAAATATACAAAAATTCACTTAATACTGTTAAATAACAATAAACTACAAGATTTCCTGAACAGAAATGGTAGGACCCCTGAATGTTTTACAGTGAATATCAGGAAAAAAATTAAGTTATGATTATTTTCATGATATATAAGCCAAAAATTTACATGACCATTTCAAAATATACCAATTAAGATTTGTAGTTTGTAAGATGCACTAAACAAATAGTCCTTAAAAGTTAACACAAATGCTTAAAACACTTACCAACACCAAGGCGTGTTTATGATGTTCAAAGAGATGCATAATTGAAACTGTAATATTTACTATCTCTGATAAACACATTAATACCTACAATGCTTTAAAACAATCCTCAGTTCTCCTTTCTGTCATTTGTATTTATCATGGCTCATTTCAAAGACATATTACAGCTTTTAGCTGATTCCAAGTGAATGTTATTAAAACACACGCATATAGACAGCCCCCAAATGAAATAAATGGCTCCCCCCAAAAGTATCATCCTTTCTAATAAAAGAACTATATTTAAAATGAAAACAAGACCTCACATATTTCACTGGACTTGTATGGTTTAGTTTTAACTAAATTAAAGCACAATGTAAAATAGGTAAGTGTATTAGTATACACATATCCAATAATATGCAGTAAATATTTCTAAAATGAGGCAAGGTAAAAATAAATAATTTTGGTGCTTTAAATTACTGGTATCTAATGTGAGATCCCCATGTCAGGTATTCACTTGCTTGAATCAACCTCTGCATCACATGCTTTCCTAAACATGATGTACTCATCAATTTTTTAGCTACTCTATCTGCTGATGTTCAATGAAAGATTATACAGCATGAACTTAGAGTGTTCAAGATGGCTCACTTATTTTACTGTTAAGCAAAGCTAAACTTACATTCCAGGAAACACTGCAGTTTAATTTTAAAAACAAACAAGAAATGCAGCAGTAAAACAATTCATGGGGAGAAACAGATGCATTCACATCTAATAAAGCCACTGCAACTTCTTCAGGCATTTAACTGTTGTGTTAAATAAACAGACAGTAGTTATTTAGCAGCAATGATTCCGCAATAAATAATGCACTGTGTTTCTCAGTCCTGCACAAAAATTGCAGCTACAGTTACATCAATAGCTGTAACCTACTGGCTCTAATGGCAGAGAAGACCTTAAAACCAACTGTACAAAAAAATTGTCACACTGTGACAACAAATATAAAAACAATCTGTAGGTCTGAAATAAAAAGACTCCACTGTGAAGAGGACAGTGTAGACAAACGGAGATTCCAAGTCCACCAAAAGAAATAATTGCCTTCAGATCTGAGTCCTTGATTGATAAGAAAGGCTGGGGGCTGGGCTTGAAACCATGTTATCAGACTTAAAAGAGCATGCTCTGTCTTCTGTTCTTCCCATGTCCTAAAATATAAAGTCATTTTATGAGGCAGTTCAAGGTTCAGTTTTATCCCACATACAGTATTTGGTGACTCTAGGAAGCTAATGTTCCCACCAGCAAAAACTAATCTTCCACGTAAGAGTGATCAGCACTGTCTGAAATGACCCTTTTGTTGATGGGGTCAGTCTACAGCTTCTATGCTTCGAAGTGATGAACCTGATGACTAGGGAAGCATAAGATGTGTCTTCTGCCTCAGGTACCAGGAATGGCGTGTGCAGTGATCAAGCCAGGCCACTTGTAAAAGGTCTTTGTGCCATCTGCAGCTTTCAGGATCCCTGACTTGACTGAGTCAGATTTCTCTCTGAAGAATTACTGAGCTGCCCACATCATACAGAAAAGTGAGTACGTGCAATGCTAAACATACAGTTGTGGAATGCACTGTACATTGGTTTTTACATCAATAATTTTACTGATCAATTTATAAACCAAAAACTTAGTTCCACGCAAAATTTCATGATCGACACGTGAAATGGTTTATGACAAACACACCTGTCTCTGGATAAGAAGAATTTCGAAAACCCGGGTCCTTTTGCAACTGAATCTCTTTCAAACTGAATATTGATACACCTAAAATGCACAGACAAAAACTATCAGGTAAAGGTCTGACATTATTAAAACAAATATAATCCAACTATCGACAGAATTGTTTAAAAATGTATACTGATTCAACATGAAACATTTATGCTACATTCACAAGGTTACAGCCTTCAACTATTTTTCCCCTTTGTCCCAATGTTTTGAGTAGAAAACCAAACAAAATAATCTCCCCTCAGAAATTTTCCCCCACAATTCTGCTCTGAGTCACACTTCCACTATATGTTTCTCTTCGAGTATGTACATACAGAGAATATACACTGTCTATTTCTAGGACCTACTGGGGTTGGGGAGACCTAATCAAAAGGCATTACTTGGTTTTTATTCTCTCTGCCTTTACCTGTCTTCTAATGATGGCATGAAGGTATCAGGGCCTCAGACTATCTTCAGATTTTCAGAGAAAAATAAGAAATAGGTTTGTATAACCATAATTGCCTACCTCAAATTGCCAACCATAATTGCCTGATATTAACAATGAAATGTAAATATCATCTTAAAAACACTTATAATTCTCTTTTCATTTCCAATCTTTCTTTTTCCAATCTCTTTCTCATTTCCAATCTCTGCCAGAGAGGTAGTCTTTCATTAAAAAATATCCAGTAAGCTCTAAGTTAAAAGTCTTAAGGATTCTTGATTCCAAACAGCAAATCTCAGTTCCTAAATATTCTAATTCTCCATTCACCTTACTCAGTTTTAAAGCAAAATGTTGAGGTAATTTTTAAAAAGGATCTTATAAGTAAGATGAAGCAGCCACCTCAGGCATGAGAAATCAGCTCTTTTAGTGACTAACAATATGCTCACCACTGTCACGAGGATAGTAAAGTTAGAGTGACCACAGCAAAGAAAAATCATCTTTATATCTTGAAAACGAAATCTACTTTCACAAGGAAACAATCGTATGTTTTGGTTGTGCTCCATTACTCTTTGCCTGAAATCCATTTTTAGAAACTCTGAATCAAAGAAATCTAGATTGGGCCTAATGACAATGTCTATCATCAGATGACATTTTCCAATTTAAGTCCAGTAAGATTAATAACCCATGTCTAAGTACTATTGATTTCTTACAAAACAGTGGCAATGTGCTCAGTGTTAAAAAAAATAAATTAAAACATAGGCAAAGAGGACATACACCTCCCTTCAAGGAATTCTGATGTACTTACAAAAAGAGTTAAAATTTTAGGCTTAAAAAACAACAATCTCTTCCCAAACCCCTAATTTACCACCCAGTCTCCTACCCTGGACAAATGAAAATGGGAGGAGGGGACTTTAGAATTTTTCTTACTTTCAGGTAAAGTATGTATTCTTGGTCCCAGACTTCGAAAGTACACATGCTTCATGGCCTCTTCTGCTGAAACCCGTTTCTTAGATTCGTACTGTGAAAAAGCGAAGAACTGCTTCATTAACTTTTTCTCTAAACATCATGAGGGGAGGTAGATTAGCATGTAGAGCTAATAAGATGATTTAATACAATGACTGTTTTTTAAGAACCAACTTGGATTACACCAGATATACTCTAATGTGAGTACTACTGCAATTATGTAGTAATGACTTTATCTAGTTCCAAATTTCCAAGATGAAGTTAAATCTTCACTTTTATAAAAACTTAGACTTCCCGTATTTTCTTAAGTGGTGAAAAATTAAAATACCTGACCTTTGGTGTTACTTTTCCTCATGAACACCAAAGTATCATTGGAAATATACCCAATACTTTTATGAAAGATATTATTAAGTTACCTACTGGATACCCATTTCCCTTTGTTCCTTGATGAGATAACATAAATTTGTATAAGGTGTCCATGCTTCCAAGTCCAACAGACCAACATGAACCATGACTATTCTAAGTTTAGGCTAATTATGATAATCTTGCTCCCCAATTCCCACCCTGTCTTACAATTAATGTTCTGGCCAACGAGACTTATGAAGAAGCCTTGCAGGGGTTTCTGGAAAAGCCTTTGCTTTCCAGATACAAGAGGACTATTATGGCTGACACCCTTATCCTCTCTCTTCTTCCTGCTTTGAATAGAAGATATGAATGGTATTTGTAGGTGCAGCAGCCTGTAAGGCAGTAAGTATAAGGAAAAGAAAGAGAACATAAATTACAGACAACATGCCCTTGACATAGTTTTGGTGCCAGAAGGTGACAACCTCAGACCATTCTAGGGCACAAGAGACCCAGACACATTAAGTGAAACCATTATTTATTATTATTATTTTTTTATCTAAGCATATGATTTAAGCATGCCAGATACTACCATAAGTAATCTTATTTAATGGTCATGACAGATATTTAAGGGAGGTATTCCTGATCCCATTCTACAGATGCAGAAACTGAGGCTTAACAATGACAAAGATGTAACTTACCTGAAGAAATTTTGTTATCAACTCGATTCCTTCAGAGTCTAACCTAAAACAACAAAAAAGTGGCAATTTATTCTTTTATCTTAGCTGACAGTAACTTTTCAAATAAAACTACTTTCCAAGTGTTTTAATCTGCAAACATTAAGTGCTCTACAATAACCACTCTTTTTGCTTTCAAAAGACTCAAAAGTGCTACACTTAAGACTTATCTTGTCACTTGTTCAAGAAGAAAACAGAAAAAACTAGGTTCCAATTCAAATTTTCCATAATGAAGAACAAATCAGATTACTAAAGATTTTTTTAAAAAAGCACTGTTCTGTCTCAAAGTAATCTCTATTATCAGGATAGCTTAAGTAAAGTGTATCATTTTCATAGTGTTCTACGAAAGGCAAGCTACAAAAGCATCATTTTCTTATTATATAGGTTAAAAAAGAAACAAGTGACCCCAAAATGTGTCACTGTGGTTCACAATAAACACAGATGACTCATTCAACATATTTTTACACAACAGTCTACTAAGAACTAGGTACTAGAAGCTATGAAGTTCAATTTATTTTTTTGAGACAGAGAGAGTGTGAGGGAGAAAACACCTATAAATCAGGGAGAGACAGAGAGAGAATCCCAAGCAGGCACCATTCTGTCAGGGTAGAGCCCAATGTGGGACTTGAACTCAAGAATCATGAGATGGTGACCTGAGCTGAAATCCAGAGTTGGGATGCTGAACCAACTAAGCCACCGAGGCACCCCTATAAAGTTCAACTGCCTCAATAACATCATAAAACTCAATTAAAAGTTAGAGCTACACATGTAGAATTTAAGAAACAAAACAGGTGAACATAGGTGAAGAGAAAAAAAACTAAGGGAGGCAAACCCTAAGAGACTCTTAACTATAGAGAACAAACTGAGGGTTGCTGGCGGGGAGGTAGTTGGGGAATGGACTAAATAGGTGATGGGCATTAAGGAGGGCACCTGTTGTCATGAGCACTGGGTGTTGTATGTACATGATGAATCACTAAATTCTATGCTTGAAACCAGTATTACCCTATATTTTTACTGGAATTTAAAAAAAAACTTAAATAAATCAATACATGAAAAAAAAAAAATTAGAGCTACAAAACCAATGAAGCTGTCGATAAAGACAGATAATTATAGTGATGATATTCATATAATGAGCAGTAGAGGGTTTGGGGACTATCTTAATGGGATAATCTCTTGATCAGAAACCATAGGTTCTATACCGCCTTTCACTGGCAATATATTTTCCCCAAGTGCTCTTAATGGGTTCCATGGATGCTATGGCCTAGACATTTTCCAGACTCTTCTAATCCTTTGTAGTTTGCCATTCTGACAGATATCCAGAGCTCCTTGGGCACAAACTAGGGGTTAAGGTCATGGAGAACCTGCTTTAAAGAAGAGCTTCAACTTTCTGCACTGGACATTACAATAGAAGCAACGTATAAATTACAAAAATAGGATTTATGCTACTCAGAAGGAAGAGACACACAAAAAAAGCCCTGCACATATTATTCTTCCTAAGAAAGTCTACTTAGAATGTTATTAGTTGCTATAGTAACAATAAGAACATCAATTCACATAAGTACTTTAAAAATATTTTTGGTATCTGAATTTGTTTTTCTACTCTCTCTAGCTTGAGAACAAATGGAATTAGAGCAAGTATGTTATACTGTCAGCAATGAGAATGGCTTTGATTAAAATACACATTGACCTTATTTGGTACCTGGGTGTACTCTTTGATTTTTCTAAGGAAAGATGAAAAAATATAGTCAAAGGGGTTATTCTCTGCTACATACTGAAAATTTAATAATTCCATAAATAAAAATTTCTGACTGACATTTTAATGGGGGTTTTAAATGGATCTGGGGATAGATCTGAGAAGAAATTTTAATGAAATGGCCAAAATTTAGGATATAAGTGTCAGAAAGAGTTTACATTCCTCAAATACAAATTAGGTCATTAACATTGGCCAAATACTGACAGGTCATCTTGTGTCCGAGTCAAGATTTTACTTATAACACTTCCTTAGGTTTTTTTAAGTAAATGTAGAATAATCCCATACAAAGCAAAACAGAAGTTTCATCATGGTCTTCATGGTATTGAAAAAGATATTAACCAATGTCTTCTTTCTGAGAAACGAAATAACCTACATAAACTCTAGAATTCTAATACAGTTGCTTTTACATTCATTTTATTTATAGCTCAATTCTGTGATTTACATATCTTGATCTCTGAATTATAAAATTAATCTGACACAAGGGAGGAAGAAATTCAATTAAATTAGATTCTAAAATATTTAAGAACTGTATGTATTATATGTATTTTTTCCTAAACCCATCTGTGGCTAATGCTTCAAGAGAATGGAAAGAATCAAGTGGGTTTTCCACCCTTTAACGTAAAGAAAAAGAGGGGCGCCTAGGTGGCTCAGTCGGTTACACGTCTGACTTTGGCTCAGGTCATGATCTCACTGCTCCTGAGTTCAAGCCCTGTGTGGGGCTCTGTGCTGACAGCTCAGAGCCTGGAGC